ATGAACAACTTTTATTAAGCTACCTTTACCGATTTACTTAGTACAATTTTGACTTTTATATATAGAAACTACTTTTTTATATATAAAAACTACGTTTACTTAATAAAAAATAGTCAAAAACCTCTATTACTCGAAAATAAGTTACTCCCGAAATTTTCATGTAATTTTTTGCCCAAAAATAGTGGCTTATTTTCGGGAATATACGGTACTGATCTATGCTAATTTTTTTTTCCAGGTGTATAAAAAGTTAAAGAACACTATAATATATTCTAAAAAAAATTTATTATACAAACCTATGAGTTGCCAATTAATGATGTGATTTATTATAGTAAGGGTTACTTTAAATTTTTTTTATATTGTGTAACCCAGTGATCTTCAAGCCAATCAAATCAAATGTTCGCCATGCTTTTCAGGGTAGTAAGAAGTTAATTTTTTAGATAGATTTCTAGTTATATTGAAGCTTGTTTCTTGGTGTTCAAATTTTTTTAAAAAAAGGTTGTTTGATAGTTGAATAAAGAAGTTGTATGTGCGATTGTTTAAATGATATAGTTTAAAAATTACTTGAAGTATAAAAATCAAAAAAAAAAATCAAAAAGTCTATACAAACATATATACAGATTATAAAAATGACTTGTGAAGAAATTTGCCTGAGAAGATATAAAACAGTAGTAAAATAAAAAAAAGTAAATAGGATTTCCCCTAACCAAAAAACACAAAAAATATGGTAAAGCTAAAAACAATATAGAAAATAAAATAGGAAAAATAAGAAAAAAAAAATAGCTGCAAAAGAATGATGAAGATAACTACAAGGTTAAAGAAAGAGAGAAAGAAGTTCATTAAAGAAGTTATTTTTAGTGAGACAACCCTATTTTGGTTTGGTTCTTGATAGAGCTGACAAAGTCTTCTACAACAGGTTGCACAAGATGTAGCCGGGTGATGGTTTTTTTTAATATAGAAAGTTTTGTATTTGAGCTCCGACAAGACTGAAGAGCCAAAAAAAGGCCTTATCTTATTAATAATTAAATAATTCGAAACAAATACATCACTAATTTTTATTCGAAATCAGACATTTTTTTTAAAAAAAAGCCTATAATTGTATAATAAAAAGTTATAGCGATTTAAAAAATTTTACCTATATCATATAAATTAAATCACGGGTAAGTCTTTGTCTTTAGTGTAACGATTAATTCCTAAACGATTCAACGATTTTATAGCCCCTGCCAAATAAGCGACCATAATTGCATTCGGAAGCATTGACTCTTAAATATAACAAAATTATGAATTATGACGACGTTACCACCAAACCGGACGCCTAATGGGACGAGTAATCGAGAAGTTAGTTTTAACGTTTATTTTTGTAACGTATTAGTCTTACCGTTACTTACATTTTGCATATGTTGATTTATTTTCAAGTACTCAGAAGCTAGAACTGTTATATTACTCGTCAAGAAACCCAATTTTACGCAAATCGATCACCATAAATGGCTTCTTAAAAGACTCTTTAAACCTCTTCGTTACGAAAAAGACGAGGTATGTTTAAATCAATATAGATTCTTTTTGATCGATAATAGTTTATGAAGTAATTGTATCTCTTTCAAAAATGTCCACATAGAATATTCAAGTTTTGTACGTATCAAATACAAAACTCAGCACTCTAATTAGATCTCAAAATGAAAGGAAAGCAAATGATGTGTACACGCCGCAGACTTTACCTGATCTTCAAGAGGAAGATGACATTTCTTATAAACTAATGCCGAATACTCGTGTTATCACGTTATGTACAAAATATCGTATGATATTTCTTTTGGATGTTACAACTTCATTGGCAACTATTTATTATAACAACACGAAGGGCGTGCTTATATCCGAAGCAATAAAAGTGTATGATATATATATATATATTGCTTAAGATTTTTATATTTTGATAATCTTATATGGATATGCATATTTTACAGCTTATATCGGTGTATTGAGGGTCTTGTACAGCCTTTTACTATTCAAGACTTGGATAGAGATAAAGCATTGCATGTTAGTATCTACATGCTTTTGAATTTTAATAGTGCGCTTAATTTATTTCCTATTCTATTAAATAGTTTGAACCCGAAATATCAATTACCGTTATAGCCGAAAGTTCTCATTTCGCATCAAACGCAAATTTACTGCCTATGATTAGGGACTTTCCGACTATGAGAGTTCTTTTAAATGGTGTTATCGTGACAAAAAACAATGTGACTGATATAATCAATAATCTGCACACAGAGCTCACTAATTTTCGACAAGAGGTGGCGGAGTTGCGGCAAAGGCTTTGCAGGGCTAAATTTCCAGTAGCATATGAGATGGACGTGATTGGATCAAAGACTGAAGATGATGTTGATGCTGATAATTTTATGGATAATAAAAAAAACTTATGGAGATTGGGATCGAGTGGCGCAAATCTTGCTTATAGTCTCAATGCTGGTTTATTTGCTAAGAACTTACTACCTGATGAAGGATTTCCTTCTTTAACTATTATTACAGATGGTGTTGTTAAATCAACTCTCGATCATATGTCTGCGGACGATGACATCATACAACAACTTTGCAAAGAGGGCATAAGATGCAATATCATTCAGGTTGGATCGCATCAGGGATTTGATCCATGTTGCAACTTTGGATTACTTCCTGACATTGAAGTTCTTCAATTTGTTGCAACAGCAACATCCGGCGTTCTCCTATATTCTGAAAAATGTCCAGACATTTCTGATATTAATTCATCTAATTCATCCCCTTCGCAAAGTGAGCATCGCTCATTCAACTTTTATCATGAACAAATGCTTATTAGGGAGACGCACTTTGTCAAAAAAAGAAATCAAGTGAGATATTTGAATAGTGCTAGTGATTGTAATTCGTATAATTTCCCTTGGGATCCAAGAAGCCAACCTCCTGAGGTTGAGGCTATGCCTGCACGATTTCTAGAATATTCTATATTTGTTGATGTCCAACAGCTCATATCTATACGAATGCGTCATGGATTCAACGTTGATAATATAATTTTGAGTCCAGGAAAAGGTAATAATAAGGCAGAGGTGATTACTATAGCAATGTCGAGACTTTGGTTACCAGATGTTACTATTCAGTATAAAATTAAAGGACAATGGACTGGTGAACTGAATGGATTATCTCGGCTTAAAGCTCCTAGGATTGAGATCCATGTTCTTGCAGATACTGAGTTAGATATCTATCTGGTTAATTTTCAAACTGCTCGACAAAATAATGATCCGAATCACCCGCTTTTTTGGAAGTTCACGAGATTATATAATTTTTTGACAACTATCTTAGAAACTGATGAGCTTCTCAAGAAGCTTAAAACTCCTAAAGACAATAACAGGTTACAATTACAACGTTCAATTGCACCAATGAATAGGTTGGAGGTTTTAAAGCAATTATGGAATACTGAGCAGAGTTCTCGTAATATTAGTTTTTGGCATGATGACGCAAAAATTGATTTTTTAATAGCAACGGAGACATTGCAATCAAACATGAATTTGGATATGTCTTCTGAAGCTAAACATATTTCGGCAATAATTGAAGAACGATTAGTAATAATCAAAAAGTATTTATCAAAATGGTCTACATTTACTGCATCAGAAAATGTATTTGTGAAATTTTTTAACCAATTGGATACTGAAAAAATATCACCAATCAATTTTTGCGAGCTAAGGATTAAGCAAGAAGTTGGCTATCTTGTCACAATAAAATTTTCTTTTTTCAATGTTGACAATTTACGCCGTCAAAAAGAGATAATTTATATAACCAATTTAATTAATGATCTCGACGGAAAGAACGATAAAAACAAAAATTATTATATTTGTCGGAGACCTTTATCTTCATTCTTTGTGCATAATGTTGACTATGAGCTTAATGAAAAGGACATCCCATTAGATCGTCAGTTTACAGGCAGAAATTGCGTAATCAGGTCTTATTTAAGGCATTCTCGATGGTCTTGGTTATCAGACCTTGAAAAAGATATTTCTCTAATAAATAAAGGGATTATAACTATACAAAAATTAGCTTTTCAGTATCTCTGTCAAGCACGGTCGGATGAAAATTTTTTATTGGTTTTCGAACATAAAAATAAAAAAATTTTCTATCATGAATTAGAATTCTCAAAGGATGACTCAGATACTTCATCTGTAGATCAAAAAATTGTATGTGGTGTACAACATCATATTTTTATTTCTGATACTGAAATAATAACAGAACTTTGGGTGGAACCTTTACAACATTCCCAAATGAAAGTTCTTTATGAATCATTTGTCAATAAAATATTTGCTGCGGACAGATTGAAATTATCACAATTAGTAACATTTGATCAAATTAGTTATATCGCAAGGTCTCGTGCAAAACATCCTCAGACTTTGGCCTTGTCTACACCAAAAACGTTTAATCTGTCAAAATTATTTCAATTAGCTGTATTGCTCCGCTCCAGTGGGTTAATCATTGCAAATTACAATCTTCCTTTATTTTTGTATGGACAATCCAATTATAATATGTCACAACGTTCTGTTATTAATGCGCAACAGACTGAAAAATCAATTTCTTCTGGAAATAATGATTCGAATTACAATGATCCTAGAGTTAAATCAGAGAGTAGTCCTTATCTAAGACATGGCAGCATTAGTCATAGGAGTTCACCTTTTGAAACGACTACGCAGAGAAAACTTTCTATTTCCGTTCTTAATGATTTCAATAAAGATATGGTCCATTTCGTTGATCGAGATTTAATTGCAAAAATAGAGCCATCTGATAGGGATTTTGCTTTACTGCAATTGTTTATTGAGAAAAACTTGAGCAAGTATGCTGATGGTGAAGTTGACATGACTATTGATAATTGTAAAGATTCAGTTATTTTGAAAAACATAAACAACGGACTGTCAATGAAATTACTGAAAGACACTATGACGACTATCGCGTATGCGTTAAATCTTCACGAGACTCGATGCTTTATTAAAATCGTGAACTCTGGTTCATTCCTACTTATTTTCATACCTTCTTTTAAAGTATTATTGAATGCGATGGTACAACAGAATGGTATATGTCCAGAAAATAAGATTACATATTTTGGGATACTAATGTTTTTGTGCAAACGACCAGAACCATCGCTTGGTAACTATCCCCGTGAATCTTCCTATATAAACCGCGATCAACCACTTGCTTTCGAGCCCATAAGCATTATTCATAGTAGTTCAATTCTGGCGAATAGTCCATTGGATCCAACGTTACTTGGTTGCTCTTTTCCTGAATATCCCATGAATTTTACTAGTTCTGATATTTCCAATCTGGTAGCAAAAGAAATTCACAATGTTACAAAAATATATGCACGTGGATTTATTAGATCAATATACGCTAGTGTTTTACAGAAACATAAAATCGCAGAAAACGATTTCCGCAAAGCAATTGATTCATGTGCACACTTTTATACAGATATTGATATTACTGGATATGTCAATGTTCATGTACAGGCATCTCGTCAGGATTCAGATTGGTATGTTTACGAAACTTTTAAAATAAAAAGATTGGGACTCTAATATTATTTTACTTTTTATAGTGAAGATGCAAACGACATCTACCAAAAATTTGTCGCCGTGCTCGGTCATTACTTTGAACCGGTTACTTTTGCTGATTGTGAATCAGAAAATAGTTTTTATTATTATCGACCACCATTCAAAAAATCAAGTAATTCATCAGCTGACGCTCATGATTACGTCACTGACATTCCTGGAAGCTTTTTAGAGACCTTCACCTGTGCAGAAAATCCACTTTTCATCCGTTTGGAGTGTATTTTTAGGAAACCCACGAAGACCGTCCCCAAAACTGAGGATACAAATCTAAATCATATTGGGCCTGATGCAGGGAAAACTGAGTCTGATAGATTTGTCCAATTTCCCATCTCTATTTTGCCAACATCTTATTCTTGTGTTATTGATGGAATATCATGTGACTTTTCTCCCGAGTCTATTGGAACAGATGTGTCACCGGTGGAATCTTCTGATGGCACCACAGCAACTTTGCGTCTGATATGCTTGACTTTGCCTCAATTTCACGAAGTCAACAATTCCCGTTCGACTGAACATAAAAATGATTTGGGCCAAACAAGGTTATTATCTATTTTTGACCTAAGTAATGTCAACATTAATTAATCTTTTGTTTTACCTTTACAGTACAAATAGTACAAATTCAAACAAGTTTTTGTATGAATGTCTCAGTGACGATAAAAAGGAGGCTTTAAATGAAACTCAAAGTCGCATCGATTGGCTTACGAAAGAGGAAATAATGCATATGCTCTTAAAGTCACAATCTGTCGATCGTTCATTATTATCATTTATTCAAACGCAACTACGAAACAAAAATCCTTTTGTGGATTTCCCAACAACATTCAACATTCCTTTATCATTTGTTCGTCGAAAACATGGAAAGCTTGGTCATGAATTATTTCTGGAAGCATTAAGCAAAGCAGATATGAAGCCATTTACACTAAATAAAGTTGAAGATTGCTTCTATATTAGCGAGGATGATGAAATTGGAGAGTCTTTAGTGTCTACTGACAGTAGATGCGAAGCCTCTCCTATATTTGGAACAGCTCTTGATGATGGTGAAATAACTGAGCAATTAGCCCCTCAAGTTCCTGTGTTTGATGATTACCCTGATGATGGAGATGATGGACTTGGCTCAGGTCTCGGAATTAGCATTGGTATTCCTGAAGAGGATGATGATACACCAGATCTCGCTTTAAAGTCAATTAAACGGAATGTCATCCACAAACAATTATTCTGGCTGCTTTTTATACCTCAAGAAACTAGCATACAAATGTATTTTTACTCTCAAGCAATATCTCCGAAAAAACGATCCGATATTATTAAGCATGCACGAAACTGTGTTATACAAGTGTCCGAACGTGTTAATAGAATAATTTTATTGACTGACCTTAATCATACCCATAATTGCAGGTGAGTTGCAATTTTATATAATAAAAAAAAAGAAAAAAGTACACAGCGCTCATTTTATGGTCTTTTGTGAAATTAGTAAATATTTGGTACCACCTAATCTTGATGACTCTTCGGATTCTGAATCTTCATCTGAAGATAATGATTTATCCACTGGAGATAATTATTTGGTCGATGTACTTTCGAAAACACAAGACGACGATGGCCAACTTAACGTTTCTAAAAAGTTCAAAGTGGGACAATTCGAATGTCCTTTGGTGTTTAAACAAAAATTTCCGCTTCATTGGCGATTAAAACCGAATAATGCTATAAGGGGAATTGAGTCTAGTGTTCTCAATTCATTCGCTGTCAATAACAGAAAGCATATGTTTGTCTATGCTAAAGAAAATTCTATTGTATATATCAAGATTTCAGAAGTGGACACTTCATCAACTTCGTCAGATTATGAGAAAATTGACGATGCTTTTCGATCTGCGAGCTCCTCCCAAATTATCCATCCTACTAGCACTACTCAATCTGAAACGTCGTCAATCAACGCTGCAGAGGAATCTCGAAGATCTCCATCTAGCAAGAGTGGTGGTAGTCCCAAAACCTCTACTAATGCTTCACCTGGTCGAAAACCTGCATCCCAACAGCGTGTTTCAGAATCGAGGGAGTTAGTAGTTGAAGTCTTTGGAATAGATCCACCTGGCAAAGAGATCACAGAAGAATTAATGGCTTTGCTGGAAAATAAATTGATGACCAATATCACATTGACTGCTATGTCAACTTTTCTTTTTCGTAATCCTAAGTTCAACCCTACTCGGGAGGTATGCATTAAATATGTATTCTTTATCGTTACATTGTGCGAGCCATCTAGTCGCGTCAAATCAGTACCACTTTTATCTTCGGCGGCTATAAATACTTTACTGATCATCATGCGGACACTTCTTAAAAATTTTACTTTACAACCATAAAAAAAAATATGCAATTATCAAAAACTACTGAGTTACGTATTTTTTGGTAAATTGAGCATGTGACCATATATTTATTGCCTTTAGGTGACTCGCACCATATTTAATATTTTTGCATGGCTAACTTAAATTTTATGACTTGATATATAGGATGTAGATTTCATTTTGCCAGTTATGAAAACACCTAAACGTCTTTGTTTAACTATTCCATCATCGATTAAAACTGTCTATACACTTTTGGTATATTTCAAGCAGAATTTATCTCATTATCTTAAAGTGTTTAGTGGTGCAGAGGTTACTAGTGCAATCGAACGTCATCATAATACGACATATGGTAATAGAATTTCTAACATAGATGATGGGAGGTATTTATTAACTTTTATTTTATTTTAGTATTGAAGCTAGGCATTGTGTTAAGCACAAGTTAATAATAATTATATAGGAAATCACCGATTTCATCTTATGATATTCAACTTTATGAATTTTCATTTTACTATAATAACAACACTCAACCTCGTTCCTCCAATTCTGCTTTCGAATTATCGGTTGGTGAAGGAATTGCAGGACTTTGTATAACTTTAATAGATCACAATGGTCCTGTGTTTGAATTGCCTATATCAGATAGATCTGTTATGGATGATACAGATATGGCAGCTATATTGGACTATATTACAGAAGAAGAAGTTTTTATCGTCTCAAATTCTGAAAGAGATGAAAGTATTGACTATGATTACAAGTTGCATATCGACCTATGGAGCCAGGGTCAACTTAATTATGAAATTCTATTTGAACGAATTAAAAAAAGCTTTAGACAGTGCCTTTGTGACTATTTCATAGAAATTTCAATTACTCAGGGACTAGGCCGCATTTTAGACCAAACTGAATCCAATCTTCCGCAAACTCCCGAGCATTATTGTACTTCGGATCGTGAATGTTCACCGGCATATATTGATCAACATGTCCAAAAAGTATTTATAGAGCCTTGTATGGCGCTTCTAAAAAAATCTGTTAATTTAGCTAATCCGGCATTACATTCATTACAAGTACGACTTGATATGCCATCATGGATGATAGATGATTTCTTAGCAGAAGTTCACGAACTTTTATCGGATATCCATATGATATTTACTCCTGTCATTTTACGAACCACCCCATCCTCTATCAATAATAGTGATACTATTTATGAAGTATATCGACCAAAACATTCAGTATCTGCAACAGAACAAGCCATGACAGCTAGGCTTCAATATTTATTAATCGCTGGTCTTAAAGAGTTAAATAAAAAATATGGTGCGTACAAATTATTTTCTCAGGAAGATCGCCGAAGCAGTTTAGGAAGTGATGGTGCACATTCACGTAGAAGTTCTGTTGAAGATCTCTCGGGTGATAAAACTAATATTCCTCACTCACGAAAAGGTTCTTTTATGACAGCTCAAGCGCAACACCGTCATCTCCTCGAAGATATAATGATGTATACCATACCGCATTATGAAGGCCAATCAAACCCACAAGCTCTCGCTTTATATCGTTCTTGTTTCTTAGCCATGTCAATGGACGGTTTCGATTTGACTATCTATGTCTATAATTGGCAAAAACAATATACCGACAAGGTATTTTCCGCGATGAGAAAGATTTCTGACTGGCATAATCAACGTATTGAACTTTTAAATAGTATACTTTATCAGAAAATGGGCTTATTTTGCCATACCGGTATATCATTCAAGTCTCAAACTCCTTTTCAGAGCATGCCAAATACACCACGGTCTTTGCAGTCTCCCATTATCTCCAGTCAACGAGTTTCGCAAATTGATCCTTTACATAGTCAACGAACGGGCTTAATGCCTATTGGACAAAATACTACTGATCTACCACTTATTATTTCTCTTATAAATGAAAGATTTCCTCATCTTCAAAAGACTGAAGGCCGCGCTGAAGACATAAAAAAGAATTCAGATTTAAAATATGATGCAAACAATTTAAATATTACAGAATTCAATGCCTGTGGGATTTCATTGAATGCGCTTGATCTGAACAAAGTTCTCAAAGATGCACGCATTGATTTATTTACTGAAAAGGGTCACACGTGGGAGAGCCGCGATGCTCTAAAACGACATGGTCCTCCTTTTATTGATGCATGGATCTGTCAGGCGAAGATCTCTCAAGTTCATGACAATGAAGAGGCTGTATATAGTAAATGGGCAAAGAGAATTGAAGAGCGTAATGTTGATAGCAATACCAATACACCAGAAGTGATCAAAAAATCCGATTTGGCGATTATATTTCGTACATCTCGACTTTTACATTTTTGTAGAACACCATTGCTTTTTGGTGGTAATGCAGATTCATTTACGCGTACTCAATCAGCTGTTCGCGATTTCCAAACGTCAAGTGACACGACATTTTCTCGTTGGTATCAAGATATGTCTGAAACATTCTTACAAGAATACTCTTCTTACCTTGAAGAAATTGGTATGCAAGTAGTGATTGGAGGCAAGTCTGGCGTATATTTGGTTGACGATGGGGTATCAAAATCATCTGCTACAGAAAATGTACTTGCCAATTCTCCTGCTGTATTTTTACTAAAAGTGCTTCAAGGAGGTTCTATCATGTGTGAAGTTCGAATTCAAGGTGTATTCGTAAGTGTAACCCTGTATATACTCAATCAAGGGCAGCATTTGACGTCATTAGGATTTTCTGACACTGGTAGCGACCGTGGAAGTTTGAGAATATTTACTGAGGAATGTGGGAGATTTAGAAAAATGATTCATGTAAATTCTTTTGTTTATGACTTTCATCTACGTTATATAAAACATGTGTTGGAATCCCAATCAAAAGCCTCCCCAGGCTTTAATGTATTGGATGTTATCAGAGCATTCATTCGCCGTAATTCTCAACCTGCGTATTTTTCACGTAACCGTATTTATCACGACAGCTATGATAAAGAATTAGGATCGATACCTGATGATTTATTCAAATTTATAATATCGGCACCTCAACGCTACGGGTTTAGAGCAATAAATTTTAATGATGAGCCGATAGCTTGTTTTGCGACTTCTATATGCGGGGATCAATGTTCCATAGAATCTTGTGATCTCTGTTCAATTTTAAAAAATGAAGCACTGCAAATCACATTGGTTTTCACTTTCTCGAACCAGACATCTACTGCAGGAACTACATCTTTAGAATATTTTGTAATCGTGTTGAACGACAATTACACGTCCCCTGATTCTACTTCAAGCGTTAGGGATTCCTATCACCGTTATAAATATCAAACATCAGATCTTTATTCCGACCAAGATCTCCAAGAAAGGAAGTACATCCTAATCAACCGTACTCGTGAAAGGCTTAAGTTGGTTATAAGTCAGGTAAGATCAATTTACCTTGGTATTTACATCTTTTACCCATTTTGGACTAAGAAATTCAAATATTTATTACAGGCGATACAATTTAAGCGACGAGAAGATTTATGGAAAAAATTAAGCAGTATGAAGCCAAGTGACAGAAACAATGCTAATAATAGCACCAATTATTCTGCGTCGCTTTCTATTGTAGATTTCCTTGATTTAACAAAACAATGGTACAGTCGAGAACTTGTTACCTTAAGTCCAGACTTTAAAGACATTTTGGATTTGAAATTAAATTGGGGAGAAGTATTAAATTTTTTACAATCATATTATTCTGATTTGACGAGAGAATTATATGATGATATTGAACATATTCGACATTTAGTAATATTCAATCAACGTAGCCATGATTTATTAATACATTTCATTTTACCGAGACAAGGTGAAAAAGAGACCGAAATAGGAAATAATGATATTAAGTTAGTGGTAAATGCTGTTTGTAAGGAGAACAAACCAAATTTTGAAGGATTAGAATTACAATTTGTTGCTGACATGACCAGGACAATTGGGTATTGGATGTGGCAAAGACTGTTTTAAAGTATTGATTAAAATTTAATAATTTTTTGTACAATACTATTATTATTCGCTTATATTGTAATATATTACTATTTTTTATTTTATATATTTTTTTTTTTGTATCATACACATAATAAGCAAGAAAAGTTATTCTAGGTAGCCAACTGTTTAACTAGCAAAATTTGGCATTATTAAAAAATCTTTTTTTTATTAGATAAAATTTAAATTTTTTACACAGCCAAATAAACGCCATTAATATGTACCTGTTAACATTTAGTTAGCAGTAATCAAACATTTGTAGATATAGAAAACATATTCGCGAATTTATATTAGGTTGAGACTATAGTTACACGAATTTAAGACTGCTACACGCGGCTTTCATGGAAAGAAATTTTGAAGGTATATCATAACATGGGTTTTCTAACGAGTTCAAATGGTTTCGCTTTCTATAGCATTTGCAATTTTCTTAACGTTAAGTAATTGGGTCGATATTTGGATTAAGAGAAAATTTTATTTTAAACGGGAAACATCCTAGTTCTAGCAAAAACTACTAGTTTTGTGCCACGAATAACGATAAACCAAACAAATACCATATTATAAAAAGCCCCTACAAATAAGTGATAAGAACGATGATTCACACGTGTCAATGTTAACTTCGTGATTACCCTATTCTTATCGTTATCGATTCCACGGAGTACAACTATGATCATTTATTTGTGGTTTAGTATCTCGATTTGATATCAAACTTAGATTAGGAATAGGCATGAAAATTTAGACTCTTATCGATACGGATGTAATAATATCTGGCACAATCAGAGATATCCCCAAAAAAATTGAGCTCTTAAAAAAATCGATAACTCTAACATTATATATTTTTATTACTGTTGATTCACGTAATACGTTACACGAATAACATTAACAACTATTTGGAACATACAAATATAGCAAAAATTCGGTCATACACCAATAATATTTAACATAATTTGAACCAATTAACTATCTGGAAATTAAATCCGCGGGAAAATAAAATTTTTCACTCCGATTATTGTAAGACTTCATGTGAATATGAAGTACGTGCGCAGCCTTTTGCAATCACGTGAGTCCAACAAAATTTTTTTTTTTTTGACAAATGAAAAGAAAAAAATTAAAGGTAAAAATTGAAAAAAGAAGTATATAAAGTCATCACAAGGGTAAAATATACAGGCGTAATTATGAATATAAAAAATGATGCATAATTTAATGTGCAGTCATCTCAGGAGTTGAAGGCTGAATGTTTCCGTTGGAATAAACTTTTGAGAACTGATCTTTGACGCCTTGTTGGGCATTCCAAATAGCACTTTTAGCATGGTCAACAACGTCTTGACTCTTTGATAAACCATCGGTTAAAATACCTTGAACTTTATTAATAGTTGGACTGAAGTACTCCTTCGCCGTATTTTGTCCTTGAGCGATGGCTGATGAGCTGTTATCTCTTATTTGACTAGCTTTGTCAGCTAAATTGGAAGTTGCTTGGTTTGCGGTTGCAAGAAAAGATCCGGCACGAGCAACGAGGTCACCAACAACAACGCGTACCACACAATCATACCACCAATTAACTAAAGGAACGCTTTTAATAAGACCCTCAAGGGTCCAATTATCTTCTTGCTTTTCAATGTAAAGTAAGCCATCATCACACTTTTTGAACCTTAAGATTGTAACCGAAGGAACCTTGATGTCAATGAAGGGAAGAACCCTAGGGTTTAAGTGTTGCATAACCTGAATTACAGCTGTTGTACCGCTAATTTATGAAATGAAAAGATAAAAAAAATTGGTACTCGAAACGATACTAATCTGCAGTTAACAATAATAATAATAATAATAATACTAACTCAAAGATTGGAACAGCGGAAATGTCTGGTTGTTTACCATTTAAAGAAGTCCACACTCGAAAAACTTTGCGAATATTATGTGTTCCCTCAACATTTAAAAGAGGATGGCTTAACTTGGCATCATCAAGAAAGTAGAGTTCGAGAACACGTTTATAACAGTTTTCATCGTAAGAAAGAAGGTCATTAACGATTTCTGTATAAAAAGTAACATTATTCTATTAAATAAACGTATACACTTTATCAATCGAGAGCTTATCAAAACATACCCGTTAAAGTTTCACCAGCTCTTCTTTGCTCCATGATATTTTTTTCGTTCAAATAATTTAATAACGAAACTCAAAAAATTTTAAGCTTTATAATAAAAATAATTTGTTTTATTTTTTGTTTATTTATGTAAGGAATTTATGTATTTATGTAGGGGAAAAAAAAAAAGAAAAAACAATAGTGGATTGACATGTTTTCCAGTCAATTTATAGATTATGATTGAAAACAGGAGAAAACTGAACTACAAACACGAAGGCAAATTTTCACATGCTTGGTTACAATAATCTCATGTCACTCTTTTTTATTGTTAATTCATGTTCACACTCCCACGGCTTCTGCTTATAATATGACACTAATATGACCCTTTTGGCGAAGGGTGGTCAAATGATATAAATGAGGCAAACAAGGTTTTTCTGTCGTATAAATTATTTATATTATTTTTAATGATATCATAGAAGGTTATTTTATTCACCTATATTTTATACCGTGTTCCCCATTTTCCTATTCCAGCAAAGACTTACGTCTAGTTTTCTTCCCCTGATTTTCATTCAATCTCCTCCTGATTCCGACTATTGAATTTATTTATTATCCGCCACTTTTAGCATCAGATCGTGATAGCGTGAGGAATGCAGATAGCTTAAAACCTAAGAATTTTTGAGATGGCTTATGCTTCTACCTTTAATCCATCACGAATATAGTGAAATATCTCTCTACTTTCGTAAATGCAAAATAAATGTATAATGTATATCATATGCTTGATTAATTCTTGCCGCCTTAAATATCTAATAAAATCCAAATACGGAATTAAATTTCATTTCTCTCTAATGTACCTTTCATGATCGTTATCGTAACATATTTTTATTTATACAATAACCTTTATTTAGAAGCATGTGTCAATGCTAGCATGTAACTGAACGCTCATAACCAATTGTGTACGCACGCAATCTTTATTCCATTGTGAAAGAGATTAGAAGTATCGGATTTACATCAACTGTGTGCGTAACATGCGTACAAATATACTCACGCAAAGACCTATCCTGCGCAACCTAAATGCTATGGAAAATAGGTAAAAAAAAGATCCGCGACGATCACATCATATCTATTGTTCCCGAGCATCATTATAATATGCTAGTTGGTCATGTGAAATATCACCAAACGTTACGTCGATTTATCTTGCTTCAATTACTATGCCCAGTAATCAGGTAAGGGTTCGATTCGAATATGAAAGTTTGATGAATTTTGATAGAAACAATAGCTTATAGATCGTGAGATCTATATTATGTACAGTATATACTTTAGTTTAAGGTGACCTGCATGATCATGTGACTGTCGTCAATATTCAAAGATGTTTATATTACTAATATGTAAGAATTCTATAAATAAAATTTGCCACAAGGCCGTCAATGAATGCCACTAATGTACTTCCCGTTAAAATTGTCATTCTCGAGATAAAAACAATCACCTGAAAGTTCTGAATATATATATTTATTCATATGCAATTGTCAGTGCTTGTAACACAAACTAACTGATTTTTTATTTTTTTTGCCCAGGGATAGAAATTTAATTTAATAAAATATTTGTGCTTTACCGGATTACGTACTAAAAGTCCCTGGCGCGGGGCTTCCATGTTCTTAATTTCTTACCGTATTAGGTAGATATCGTCCGACAAATAATAATTTGTGTTAATCGTGAAGTAGTTGTGAAGTACATATGCCATATTCGTCGCTCATGGTTTATTTAATTGGAACATAATTTGAGTTAAATAAAATTACTTTTTATAGTAAACCCAGAAAAAAAAATTGGTGGCGAATCTGTTCATTGTGCGTTTTAAGATTAAAAAAAAATTTTTTTCTTGATAATCATTCCAAACTTTATTCAAATACTTACGTAATTAAAAACATTATTATGTAAAACAATTATAATAAAAGTTAGTATTATTATTAAATAATAATAATAATAAATACAACATACATGTCAAATTTTATTGGTAATTATACAATGTTTTGTTATTTATTGTATTTAAAAAAAAAATATTTAATAAACTAAAATTCAATTATAACTATATATAGTTAAAATTATTTAAACTAGCAATTGTTTTAATATAACTTTGAATATAATATATTGTATATAAGATTGTATTTAGAATATGAATCAAGTTATAGCAGCATTACAAAGCTTAAGATATGAACTTAGTAGCAGTACTCTATACACCAAACTAAAAATAATTATAAAATTACAGTATATATACTTGTTTAGCACTCTTTTGTAAGATTTGTAATAAATACTATATTATACTAGAACTATATTAAAAATATAGAATTAATAGTATAAGAGAAGTAAAGAATATATAAAGTTAAGAATAGTAGTAGCATTGCAAAGAATAGCTTGAGATACAAACTTAGCAGTACTCTATCCCTTAAACCATATAGCATACATATTTGTATGCTAAAATTTTCAAAAATTTATTGCTTAAAATTTTATTAGGCTTTATTCTCTACTTTTTAAGCTAAAATAAAAGCATGTCATATGTTAAATGCTATATAATTTCTATCTCATAAAATTTTTTTATAATTTTTAAAAAATTAAATATCTAATATACAGTAGATCATAATAGGATCATAATAGAACTTTGATATTAAAAAGAAATCTGTATATTGTGGTAAAATTTACTAAAAACTATCAAGCTTTAGCAAACTTTAAAGTCACGAGTATCGAGTGGACTATTTTTTATTTAAAGAGAATAATAAAAGAAAGAAAATAAACAATTTGTATAATGGAATTTAAATTTAATAGCCTTTAAAGTACTATAAGAAGTTATCAATAGATGATAGGGTTTGAGAGATTAAACCTATTGGTTAGTTTGTATGGGTTAGGTGTAGTAATTACTTGCCCTTTACTAGGATATACTAGCCACTAAAACTTAGAAATATCCTAAGATATAACTAGAGGAAGAAGCACTAACAATCAGACTGTCCACGGCTATGTGTGGCCTTTAAATTCTGAATAATATAAGCTAGTATTTTTCCAAATTACTATTTCCAAAACTAGCTTTCACTTTATATTATTCCAAGAAAAAAAAAGAATTTATTAAAAGAAAAGATAAAAACATAAAATAAATAAGAAAAAGAAATAATTCTGGTAATAATATTAAGAT